CTTCCGTTGTTTGCTCACCCATCTCGACATGGGTGAGCAGAATGCAACAGAGGTGCTGGCCGCGTGCTGTGTGCTCCACAATATTGTGGAGCACAGTGGGGAGGCCTTCCTCCCTGCATGGGTGGCAGCTGAGGCACAGACCTTGGACCAGCCCGACACAGCTGCCATCCGCCAGGCGCGCCAGGAGGCGGTGCGCATTACAGAGGCCCTGGTGGACATGTTTGCCCAAGCCCCGTAGCAGGGTCGCTTGGGTCACCCCAGACTACTCCATCCCAGCTCCTACCACAAGTCCAGGAGGGTCTCCAGCTCCCTGGGGGTCCAGGATGGGGCCCTGCGTTTGCGGCCCCTGGGGGCTTCCTCCCCTGCCCTGGGTGACGGTGGCTGATGACCACCTGGAGCTGCCATGCCTGCGCTGAGGTGGCTGGGCAGCACAGTTGCCACGTGGCAGAGCTGGGAAGGGTGGTCTCCGGGGGGCTCCTGCCACGTGCGGCCAGTAGCGTGCGCGCTCTTTAAGCCCTCGGGTTACGCGGAAGTCCGCGGCTTCTACGGTGTCTCCCGCCGTCCAAACCGCTTTTTTCCGTTTCTTCTGCTTTTCCGGAAAAGCTGTCTACACTGGCCATTTTCCGGAAAAGCTTTTCCGGAAAAAGGACTTTTGCCCGAGCGGGAGCAGCGTAGCGTTTCCGGAAAAGCGGCTGATTTTGTACAGTACAGTGTCGATGCTTTTCCGGAAATTCAAGGGGCCAGTGTAGACAGCTCGCAGCTTATTCCGGAAAAGCGGCTGATTTTCCGGAATAAGTGGCCCAGTGTAGACACACCTGAGATGTTAACACACCAAAAAATGGCAGAATGGATCAAACAAAGTATTGGTGATGTACAAAAAGCTAAAAGAATACAGGGTGGAGATAAATTAATAGAATGAACACGTAAGGAGGAAGCTGAAAAACTTCAAATTGTAACCATAGGGAAAATGAAGTTTACTCGTCAGTTGCCTAAATTCCTGACTTTAACAAGAGCACTGACGTATGGAATGCCCCTAGGATTGTCTGAGGATGATATTAAAAAAGACATAGGCAAAAGATAAAGTATTGTTGGTTAAATGACTACTTTGTGGGAGAAGGAGACAACCAGCCATTTACAGCTGTACATGTAACTGTTAGCCATAATGGGACAGCCTATTTGGGGTAGCCTGACCTACTGGTCAGAGCCAGGGGGGCAGCATCAGGTCACATTCAGAAATCCCACCCCAGATCAAAGCCATGGTCAGGAGCCACGCCAAGAAATTAATATCAGGGTTAGAATCAATCAATAGCCAGGCCAAGAATTAATCTAGAATTGGAGTCAGAAGTGACACCAAAGGTCAAGTTGGAGTCACTCACTGGAATTAGGGTGAGAAACCAGCAGCCAAAACATGGTCTCAGGGTTCTGCTCAGCAGCAAGCCCAGCAATTAGTTGTTCAGGTAAAGAGTAGGACAGGAGCAGGAAGCTTTGTCTGTGCTTCTTGCTGTGTCCAAGCAGAACTCTATTGCTGGTCACCTGACCCAATGGAGTCCGTGGGGGTGGCCTTCGCCAGTGAGATGTTAGCCGTAGTTCCCTTTTTGGACTTGCTGGTGCAGCTGGAGAAGTTCTTGCACAGCAACTCACAGGTGTGGGTGAGAGACTTATGGCTCCTGACATGCTTAATAAATCGATGATCCTGGCTGGGAACCAACTGTAGTATCTATTTTTTTTTTATATTTCCCCTTGCCTACTCTTGTGAGGCATTATGATTGTCAGAGATTTGGGCAGGCACCAGCCATTTCTAAGGGAACAGTGAAATCGAGGAAACACCTTAATTGCATAGTGCTGCACATAAAGGATGTACAATAGCAGAACGAGCTAGAGAAATTCAAATAATTAAAATTATTCAAAAAATGTCAAATGTTGAGGCAATCAAAAGGTATCCACTGCAGAAATCAGAAAAAGAAAACTATGGAAAAAGAAAAGATGTAGAGGTGCAGCAAAACACAACTCTGGACAGGGAGGAGACTATGAGAGGAATGGGAAATGATATATTGCTTGTAGATAAAGGGAAGTTTATAACATTCATTAAGAAGTAATTAACTGCACCTTGCAGACATGGAGAAAAAAAATGAAAGGATTAAAATCATAGCAAAAGCAGCAGAAAAATACCTAAAAATAGACACTCTCTCAATAGACTGCATTCACCCAATTTTAAATGAAGGCAGTAATACGGCTTATTAAAGGTTTTAATGATCCTTAGCTGGAATCATCACAGTTTAATAATATATGGAGAGAAATTTAAGAAAGCCATCTTTGAAATGGGGGGGGGGGAACCCTGATGTGATATATGTATAAGAAACACAGGTAATAAGTAAACTTGTGTTCAATTTACCAGGATGTGATATACTCTAGAACCATGGTGTCCAGCATGCTAGCCACTAGCCACATGTGGCTAGTTGAGTGAGGATAGTTGGCTTAAAAAATAAAAATTAAAAAATGGTTGCATGTGTCTAGTCCGATATTGCAGTAGCCATTATAGTGGCTAAAAAATCAAAAAGGGTTGGACACCATGGCTCTGGAAGAATCAAGTAGTTACCAGAGGAAGGAATCCAGAAGAGGGGGATCTGTATATTTATAAATGCCTTAGCTATATCAAAATGGATGTGCAGAAACTAAGTTTTTAATATAATTCTACTGAGATTCCCATGCAGAACAAAAACTATAATATATAGATTTTTGTTTATAATCCATTTAAAATTTGTT